AGTAGTAGTAGCAACAATAATAATAGCAATAGATAGTAATAACCGTAACTAGCCATAATAACGAAAGTAATCACAAACATGATAACAGAAAAATAAGAGTTTTTGTGAAGAACTAACCGTATCAATAACAACAGCAAGAACAATATTGATGATCAGAAGAAGAAAAAGAAGAAGCATAATGATCATACTAAGAAAAATTAGAAATATGATAGTATTAACAATAATAAGCACAAAAAATATACTAAGCTACATACATACATATATATATATATGTATTACATGCATGCATGTATGTATGCATGTGTATATAATAAACGGCTGTTTGCTGCAAAGGCAGCCGACATTAAGACGATTTCAGCATAAATGGAGTCAAGAGCCCTGCATCAACAAAGACACAACAAGCTAGAACTGTTCGTGGGCTAGCATGCTCCACGAAATGCCAAAGGAAGCTTTGGGTGTGTTTCGGACGGAATACATCTTTGACACTGTAAGCAATAGTAGCACGTTGGGGTTTCGGGCTTGCTCTCATTCCCTGAATCCTCAATGGTGGCGCTGGTGTTGATTGCAGCAGCAATGGTTGTCATAGCCCAAGGAGCTGCTGTACCACGACCACTTAAAAGTGGGGTTATAAGTAGGGTAACTATACTTACAACCCATATTAGGGGACTTATAACCCTACTTATAACTACCCATGAACCTGCAAGCACCGTCGCCACCACCACCATCATCAAACTCAACCGGCCAGCTGCTCAAGCTGATTGACTTTGGTTTTTTAGAATCTTCAAAGGTACCTTCAACCCTCAAAACCCTATACCTTTTAATGACATGTAGAAGGAAATCATGAGAATCATCCCTGACATATGGGCGTTCTGGGGTTACTGTAACGTCCACCCCTTCTAGATTATCCTAAAACTCAAAACCCGATCCTAAAACCCCTTACTAAACCAAAACCCTAAACTCAAAGCCATGTGCAGCCCGGTGGGCATTGGAGCAAAGCGCTATGAGAGGGGTCACCGGCATCCCTGGGCACTTGAAAGTACTGGGAGGTCCGCACCTGAGTCGAAGGCAAGGGGCTGAGGGTCTTAGAGCTTAGGGTTCATGCTAGGCTTGAACCGCTTTAGGGTCTAGGGTTTAGGGTTGAGGGTTGGGGTTTAGGGTCACGGAGGATGAGGCCTGGGTGAGCTGGAAGCTCAGACTTTGGCAATAAACTAGTTGTTTGGGAAGCTTGGGGGGGCTAACCCTAAAGGGTACAACAAACAACAACCTTGCAGTAGAACCCTTCTAGATCCCTTCTAGGGCCCTTGTAGGCGCCTTACAAATCCCGTTCAGCTTTTCATCACCAACCCTCCACGCCCTGGGCATTTGTGGCTGCATGTCTCTATCTCAATCTCAATCTGTATCTCTATCAGAATCTATCTAAGATCTATCTTTCTATCTATATGTATATATGCACAGCATGACATACATTCAGATGCATGTATGTATGCACGCATGTATGTACGTATGTAAGAGTATAGCCATACGTACATACATACATAAATACATACGTATGTGTGTATGTATATATGTATGTATGTATGTATGTATGTATGTATGTATGCATGTATACGGATGTAGAGTGTTCGGACAGTGTTCGGATATATGATAGAGTCTAGGCTTTGAGATGGACTTGGGCTTCGGTGGCTTATTTTGCGGTCGGGAAGGTGGATACCGAAAGGGTGCCTCAAGCCTTGCATGATCAAGGGGTTTAGTGCTTAGGTCGTGGTGAGTCTGCATTTCGGTGCTCAGAGGGTCCATGTACCCGCATAGTATACACGTTGGCCCCAAAGTGCTACTTTACGGCCTAAGCATATACTATTTGGGCAAATTGGACCTTTAGGGGTGGAGATAGGCTTGACCAACACCGTCGACCGGCCGACCAACAAGGCTGGCACGAAGCAGCAGCCGGATTTCATCTTAAGACGCACTGTGCGAGTGTACACTTCGCCCTGGCAGCAGCCCATCATGCAACAGGCCCACAGCAATATGATCTAAATCACATCCTGTGACATGCGTTTTGTTTATACTGCGGCGACCCACGAATGCAACAGGTCCTTGACCACCAACCTCTTAAAATCCCCCCCGAACCTAATCTCTAAAATCCCCTCAAACCTGCAAACCACTGCTCCGTGAGCTCTGAAACCCGCAACCCTGAACCGCAACATCTCGAAACTGCTCCGAGGAACTGGTAACCTCTTCGGAAGTAAACGAACACCATCAAAGCGACGAGACCAACACCGGCACATACCTGCAGTTTGTGGTCTCATGTGCATTTTCATCTGCAGCAGTGCTGCTTTGCTGGAGTTTAAGCAAGTGGCTTCGCAGTATGTTCCGGCTTATTTTGAGACATGTAGGGGCCTTAATAATTAGAAGAGGGTTTTGGGGCCCAATATACTATAAGCATAACAAGGCCCCCTCCCCCCCCCCCAAAAAAAAATAGTATAGGTAATTTTTCGGCACCTACGTTACCTTCATATAAGGGTTCTGCAGCTTCCGGGTTGTCGGGTATAATTAGGGCAGATAGGGTTGAGGGCTTCGGGCTTACAAAAACCTATAGCAAACCCCAAAGAAAGTTGGAATCCGGATTAGGACAACTAGAGCTGGGGTTCCTTTTGCAATATGCTTTTAAGGATAGGGGCTCTTGAGTTTCCAACTTCTACTATATGCGATCATGGGCTTTACACGATCTCGTAGAGTGCTACGGGGTTTCGTATCGGTATCCTCTTGAGCTACTATTGAAACGATGGGACAACACCAGGACATTCACGGGCCCGGGCTGCCAGCATGCGGGGCGTGTCAAGCCTAGGATATGGGTAGTTCTCTAAATTGGAGGCCCTTTTGAGGTCCCCGAAATAAGACGGCACCCTTTCAGACAGGACCCAGAAAGGGATCCTCATTTAGAGTCTAGAGAACTACCCATATACTCTTGGGGCTTGGCATGAGACTTGAGAAAGGGGAGATACATGGTTGTGTTCGTAAGGTCCGATGATAACCCTAAACCCTAAAGCCTAAACCCTAAGGCCTCAACCCTAAACCCAAACCCTAAACCCTAAAGCCTAAAGCCCAAACCCTAAACCCTAAACCCTAAACCCCCTAAAATCACACGGAGAATTTGGACGAAAGGCTCGGGTTGCTGGATGAGGGCTTAGATGGAGCCTGGGCCAAAAGACGCCAAGATACACGCAAGACGCTATGTTTGCATGGTCGCCTGCGTCTCCGTGGAGAACCCTGAGCCTACACCCTAAACCCTAAACCGTATACACCCTAAACCCTAAGCCGTAAACCCTAAACCCGAAACCCGAAACCTTAAACCCGAAACCCTACACCCTCAAACCCCCGAAGCCCTACACCCTACACCCTACCCGGACCCTGATGGCACACTTAGCCGAGCCTTTCTTGAGCGCTGATTCGATCTTCCCGAGCGCAGTTTGCCCTTTGCCAATCTGAGCCTGGGCCGCGGAGGGTCTTGGGCTTTTAGAGACTGCAGGGCTGAGGGTTTAGGGAAGTTTAGGAGTTTGGGTTTAGGGTTTAGGGAAGTTTAGGAATTAGGGTTTAGGGTTTAGGGAAGTTTAGGAATTAGGGTTTAGGGTTTAGGGAAGTTTAGGAGTTAGGGTTTAGGGTTAAGGGAAGTTTAGGAATTAGGGTTTAGGGTTTAGGGAAGTTTAGGAACTAGGGTTTAGGGTTTATGGAAGTTTAGGAGTTAGGGTTTAGGGTTAAGGGAAGTTTAGGAATTAGGGTTTAGGGTTTAGGGAAGTTTAGGAGTTAGGATTTAGGGTTTAGGGTTGAGAGGAAGAGCGCTTTCGGGTTTTAAGCTTCGGTGCTCTCTACCCAATGGGCTGCTTCAAGTACCCCCTTGCTTTCATATGGGCGCTCATGGACAGGGTCTGATACACAGCCCCTAAGGGTCCAAGCACCCAGCATTTCAGGACTTTGGGGCCTTGTGTGGGTACTTAAAACCATAAATAACAACTACTTGGACCCTTAGGGGGCTGTTTCCAGACTGTTTAAGAAAACTTCAGAACCTTCCCTCCAACTCACAACTGTCAGAGAGTGTGATGAACCCTAAACCCTAAACCCTAAACCCTAAAATGGGGTTTTGGGGTATTCCCATCATACTATCAGAACTATGCTATAGCAGAATCATGAAAGGACAAGAGATAACAGCACGAAGTATTCGGAACCCCGAACTATTTAATATTAAGCCTTATCCCAACCACCCTAATCCCTACACTCTATACGCCCTAAAACTCAGAACTCAATCAACACGGTAAGCCCTGAGCCCCATAAGCCCCGAAATCCCTATAGACCCTAATCCCTGAACCCCACCGAACCTCTGTCAGCTTCCCCATGGGTGCAGCGTCCTTGGTACCGGGACCCTAAGCCCTAAACACTAAACCCCACGAGTCTGGCTTCCGTTACAAAAAACAGGGTGCTGCAAGGGCTATGTCGGGTATCTATGAAGGTGTTATAGGGGTTGTACGAGGTGGTATATGGCGCGGCCTTGATTAATGCTTAGAATAAGGTGTTGGGGCTGACAGTACGGTACAGTTATAATACGGATATGGGCAATTGTTCAGGTTTCTGTTCGAGGTTTGAGGTTAAGTTATGGTTTGGGATAAGTTTGAGCTCTGGTATGCAAGGCTTGACAAAGTGCGATCGCAGTTTTCAAGGTTGATATGGAAAATATATGGCTGGCTCTAAAAGCAGGGTGGTACAGGGCGTGAAACATGGACTTAGCTTAAATTGCCTTTGCAAGGAAAGCACACTAAGCCCTGTATACCCAAAGCTGTTGACATACGATACTGTCCTAAATCCTAACCCAAAATGCATCCTTCGGGCTCATACATCATTGCCCTAAGCCTTAACGCTTAAAAAAGGCACTAGACCAGTAGTTGCAAGTCTTCCGAACCCTATAGCAAGGGTTTTGGATTCAGGCCATGACTTAGGTAAGACGGCCTCTTGCCTGCTGTGCCGTGATGGTGTGTAACCCTAAGGGTCCATGTGCCCAAATAGTATATACTTTGGCCTTAAAGTAGTCCCTAAATAGGTACTTTGGGGCCAATGTATATACTATATGAGTACATTGACCCTCAGGGTAAGCGTGGGCTTGACAGCTTCTGGAGTTTTGAGACTAAGGGTTCGGATCGCAGGTTTGCGGGTTCGGATCCTTTCAGCACCTTAGCCCTCAACTCGGACAGGAAAGCCCTGAGCCTAAAACTCCAAATCCTAAAGTGCTGAGGCTTACCCCTAAGTCTCAGAACCCCCCTACCCTAAACCCTAAACCCTAAACCCTAAACCCTAAACCCTAAACCCCTCCCGACTCTTAGCCCTGGGCCTAAACAGCATAGGGAACCCTCGGTCCAAGAGTCTCCACCGCCCTCGCCCTCCTCGGTCTCGATGATGATGTACTTGCCCGCCCTCGGCTTGCGGTGGGGGTTTAGGGTTTAGGGTTTAGGGTTTAGGGTTCTCTGTTAAGATTATCCCCTTGTAGAAGCTCTTGACAAGGAAGCCTCGTAAGGAACTTTGAAAGATAAACACTGCCTTGTACAGGGTGTAGAGTTTAGGGGCTCAGGCTCTCAGTGGGCATAATATTTCAGCTCAGTCGCGTCAACTGAGATTAGACTGCTTAAAGTTTCTAAAGCATGGCATTTCGCTACATTCTTAATCACGGCACTGCAGGGCAGTCTGTTGGAGTTCGTAACATGCAGCAGTGATGCTTGCCATAAATTTCTCATAAACGCATACAGTGCGATACCCCCAACACCCTGCTGGAATTTGTGGAGGCCCCTTTATTTTGCTCGAGAGTATGGGCAACATTATCGCTTTCGTAGTTTGTCCTACCTATTCAAATCTTCTAGCTTGACACCGAAAACACGGTACATCACCACAAGAACCCTCCCCTTTTGTACAGGTGTTTAGGGTTTAGGGTTTAGGGTACAGGTATTTTCTGTAAACACCCATGAAAACCTTGCACGCTTAAGCTTGAATCAGGCCACGAGGTGATGATTGACCCTGAAACCCCAAAACCTTAAACCCTCACCCCCGTAAACCTGTAAGCCCTAAAGAACTCCTGATTCCCTTAAGCGCTAAACCGTTCCATCCTGAAACAAAGAACCTTAAGCCCTTCAGCCCAAAACCCTTAAACCCTAAACCCCTAAACCCTAAACCCTAAACCCTAAACCCAAACCCCTAAACCCCTAAACCCCTTAACCCCTTAACCCCTAGACTAGCTTCCGGTCTCAGCCTTCCAGAGTCTAGACCAAATGCAGGGGGCCTTTCAGGGTGCGTCTTCGGGTTCAGGGTTTAGGTTTTTTGTTTCAGGGTTTAGGGTTTAGTTTAGGGTTTAGGGGTTTGGGGGGTTGGGAGTTCAGGGTTTAGGTTTTTTTGTTTTAGGGTTTAGGGGTTTAGGGGGTTTAGGGGGTGAGCAGAATGCAAAATCCGTCATGTAAGGAAAACTCCTCAACGCATAAAGAGAGACCCCCTGGACAATTTCGGCTATCAATACTCCTGAAGTCAATAAGCAGACGAATCCTGCAATACCCCTAAAGTCATAAGACGAATCATGTATACTGTAGGGGGTACTCCTTGGCTAAGAGTTGCTGGAGCCTCTGGGTGCCCGCGAAAGCCTTCAGTGCTTAGGGCTTCAGTGCGGTTTTATCAGGAAGTCCTCGCAAGGGTCTACTAAGTTTTCGTTCACGTCCATATTGGGTTCATACGGTTCCAAACCCTAAACCCTAGTTAAGGTTAGTATTCTGACTTCCCTGCCCCGGCACTCAAAACTGCCGACTAGATCCCCCTGTAAGTGATGTGGGGGTCCGGCACCCACAACGAGTACAACCACCTGTTCTGGTGAAGTACCTGCTGCATCGAGTCAACTGCCGCCTGCAGGCCCGCCTCGTCCACGTCCAACTGGCAGTGGAGACCGCTGCCAAACGGTACTAGCCTGAAAGGCAGCTGCGGCTGCAAGAAGACATTGAGCTCCGTCTGGATGTCGTTGACGAAGAGCCGGTGCCAACCACACCGTACGTGCCGATTGTGATGTGCGGCCGGTACGTAGCTATGGTATTGCAGTCAAAACTCAGCGAGCAAGACAGTATCAGCGGAAAAACACCCAAACCTTCTTCCAGGTCGTATGATACCTCCAACTTCAGAACAATGTTGAATGCCCGGTGTACCCCCTGGCACATGGCCAGTTGTACATGTCGCCAGTGCCGACTCGGAATGCCGGCTTGTTCGACGACTTCTGCCTCGCCGACTGCTTCGCCGACTCTTTCGCCGTCTGGCGCCGCTGGCACTGTCAGCACGGCGCTTCTCGCCGCATTGCGGCGTCTGCCGCAGGGGCTAAGCGACACTGCCGCACGAACCATGACGACAACGAGGGTTTGGGTTTTGGGCTTGATACTACGCTTGCTGCTACTTAGCTTATGCAGCAGTAGTCCAGGGGTTAAGGATGTCCAGAGTCGGCGGTCAAGAACTTTGTGGTGACTCCGCTGCTGCTACGTAGTACGACGTCAGAATCCTGTTAGACTGTCTGGTCTTGCTCAGGCAGGACCCCAAGAGGACCCGGCCCATTAAAGGAGGCCCTCGGGCAGCTTACACGGAGGCCCAACGCAAATTAAAAAAGTGGTGGTTCGTTTCGGCGAACCGTAGATATGATCAGGAGGCCCAGGGGAGACGATTGCCGTGATAGGCTATGTCATGACTAAACCTTTAGGCTGAACCCTTAACCCTAAACTTTGGGGTAAGCCCAAGCCCCAAACCCCAACCCCTAAACTTTAAGGTCAATCCTAACCCCTAAATTTTAAGGGGCCCTAAACCCTAAACCCTAAACCCTAAAACCCTAAACCCTAAAACCCTAAACCCTAAAGCCTGAACCCCTAAATTGTAAGGTAAACCCTAAAGCCTGAGCTTTGGGGTTCCGGGTGCAGGATTTTGGAATTCTGAGCTTCAGCTCTCACGGAGCAACACACCGCGAAGAGTTGTATTTAGGCTTCAGGGAACTTTGGGAGTTTTGGGTTTAGGGAGTTTAGGCGTTAGGGTTTAGAGTGTTTATACTAGGGTTTAAGGAGTTTCGGATTTCTCTTTTGGAAGATTTCGGACTTGTCCCATCCTACCCTTTCATCATACAAAAGTTACCACCTTCCATGAGTTCAAGGCACGGCCCGGTGTCGAAGGGTTTGGTGTTGCAACATGTGTCCCAACCTTGGGATATTACTGTTTAGGTTTTTTTGGTAGGGTTTTAGGGTTTAGGGTTTAGGTTACACGTTGAAAACCATGCAAACTGCACTGAGTTTATTTGCAATCAGACGCCCTTCCCTCGAAGCTTCAGCGACGCACAAGACCTAACATTGTGGTGGTGTTGCAGGGCGCCTAAACCTAAACCGTACGGCTTCTTGAGTGGAGCTTCTTCTTCTTGAAATCGTCGCGGTTCTCCCAGGCATTGCAAGTCTTCTCACGGAACTTCTTCTCGAAGTCCTCTGAGGTATGAGGGTTCACTTGGAAGATATCCTTCTAAACCCTACACCCAGCGGCGCAAAACACCCGCAATGCCAAAACCCCAAACTCAATGGTCAACAACCTTTGCACTCTCAAACCCCTCGGGCGAAATCTTCACAAGCAAAGAACAAGCATGCTTGAAGGAGAGCTTAACTACAATGCTCCCGAAGCTGTAGCTACCTGCAGCAAGAGTTTGTGGCTTTGGTTCTTGGGGGAGTATATACACCAGCCTTACACAACGATCGGAATGACAAGAATTCCCAAGCCCCGTCGAACTGTTCTCTAGCTTCAGTATATAGCAAAACCTCAACAGTTTTAAACCCAATAGCCTCAATCCGTAGGAGTAATGTATAGGGAATCCCAGCACTATTTGTCCTTATGTGATCCCCTAAACCCTAAACCCTAAACCCTAAACCCTAAACCCCGGTTTCCAACCTTTTGGGGCTTACTGTAGGTACAATGCGGCTTCAATTGCAAAATGGTTCACTTGATGCCCTTGACCCGGGAATTCTGCTTCGTAGTAAACCTACGGCCCCTGGTTCCACCGCACAGAATGGTTTAGGGTTCAGGGTTCAGGGTTCAGGGTTTAGGGTTTACCGACAGAAAAGCCAATCCAGACCGCAAGACCGGCTGGAAGAGTGGGCAATGGAGGGTTAGCAATAGATAAGCGGCCTGTAGCAGAATCGTTTACAAAACACACGACCCCTACAGACGTAGATCTCCACCTGCCACTGTTTTTTCGGAGCAGATCCCGAAGACTCCGGTTGTCACTCCAGGGCCCGACGAGAGAGTTTTGCAGCCTACCTACTATAGTCTCCATTGTACAATACCCAGCCCTAAACCCTAAACCCTAAACAAGCAACAACACGTATACCCCCGGTGTATGCCTTGATCGCATAGGCCACATCCGAAAACCTCTGCGAGCTCGGCTGGGCGTCTATAAAGATCCAGAGAGTCCAGTTTGCGGCTTTAGGGTTTCAGGGTCCTCAAACCATAAACCCTAACCCTAAACTCTCAAACCATAAACCCCAAAAGCCCTCAAACCATAAACCCTGAACTCTCAAACCACAAACCAAAATAGTTGAGGGGCTCCTGAAAGGGGCTGTCAGCAGCTTGCTAGGTTTCTGCTTGGCTTCCTTGGGGTTATGTTAGTTTCCTGACCCCTGATCACCGACCCCCAAAAACCTTCGTGATAAGATCCCTGCTAAAATCCCCATGAAGAGGGGGTGAAACACTGAATGTTACACATCCAGGTGCCTATCTGTTTCAGGTATCACTTGCATGTTTCCATGCCTGATGCTCAAGGTTCTAGCAGAGTACGATCTACAGCTGTGCGCCTGTAGTAAAAG